AAAAAAAAAAAGAAAATAGTTTAAATTGAATGAAATAGTAGGGATAAAAAATAATTTAGGCTGCTTAAATGGTCTTTTACTCCTTGTTGGATAAGGAGTTGTTTTGGGTTGGTGTTCTTTGTGGGGCTGGGGCTAAAGCTGGGCTCTTCACCCGGACTGCATCCGTATGTAGCCCAGCTGTCCTGTAACAGTGATTATTTTTTTTATTATTATTATTTTAAAGTTAGACTTTATTGAGAGAGAGAGAGAGAGAGAATTTTTCAATATTTATTTTTTAGTTCTCAGCGGACACAATATCTTTTTTTTTTTTTTTTTAATGTGGTGCTAAGGATCGAACCCAGCGCCCCGCGCATGCCAGGCGAGCGCACTACCGCTTGAGCCCCCTGCAACAGTGATTATGATGAATGTTGTTGATGCTCTTTTCTGGGAGAATGAATGTGCTTTCATTCATTCATTGCTCTTCCTCAAAACTACAGTGTCCCAAAACTGATAGCTTATTTTGAAACCCTTACAGATTTGCTACGAATGTTTTTTGATTGCCTGTATGACGAGGAGGTGATCTCCGAGGATGCCTTCTACAAATGGGAGAGCAGCAAGGACCCTGCAGAGCAGAATGGGAAGGGCGTGGCCCTGAAATCTGTCACTGCGTTTTTCACATGGCTGCGGGAAGCAGAAGAGGAGTCTGAGGATAACTAAAACTTCAAATACACAAAACGAAACAAAAGAAACAATTTAAGTATTTTTTTAAAAAGTTTCACGTCTTCGCCAATCACAGTGCAGCAAGGCCAATTCTCGCAGAAATCCCCACGTGTGCACGAGTGGGAGAGGGGAAAGAGAACAAAGGTGATCATGGAGGAAAAAGGTACTGGAAACAAGTAAACTTCCAACCTGAGGGCGGGAGCACTAAAACCAAAATACATGTATTATTTATAGAAAATATTTTCTGTTTTAATCTTTTCTTTTTAAACAAGGACTCATACTTAAAAACACATTTAGCAAAAAAAAAAAAAAAAAAAAAAAAGTTGAGAACTTTTAATTTATTTTAAGGACTGCAAATGCCAGTGTGTAATTTTTTAATTTGCAGTTTCTGTAAACAACTTGTATAATAGAAAAGCAGAGAAATAAATGTCCCTTCCCTTCATATGCACCTCACGTTTGTTTTAAGGCATAGTAGTTAGTCCAGATTTGAGAAGGTTTGGGGTGAACAAGGTAAGAAAGATATCTCTCTCTCTTTCTCTTTCTCTTTTTTCTTCTTTTTTCTTTTCTTTTCTTTTTTTTTTTTTTTTTTTTTTTCCGGGCATCAAATCTTTCTGCCTGCCTCTCAGCTTGCTTCAGAAAATTTAAAAAAAAAAAAAAAAAATCACAATAGTAATCAAAACATACATAACCTTGGAACAGAAGGAAATGCTGTGGACCAGAGAACTCCAAGATTGTTCAAAAACAAAAAGTGCTACCCTGGAAAAAGTACTCTTAATACTTTTGAAATCTTTAGAGCAACTTTAAGGCTTGTAAATACATAGAACAAATATTTAAAAAAAAAAAAGAAGAAGAAGAAATTGACTCAATACTATTTCTTTTCACTTTCAAAATATAAAGAACAAAATAAAGACAAACATTGCAAGTTTAAATGAAAGTAAAGCGACGTCTCCTTTTGACAGCTGTTGCATGTGTGCCCATCCCTGGGAGGTGCTATCTGGCTATTCATTATCTAATCCAAATCATTCCTGAGGAGTGTGGTGTGTGTATGTGTGTGTGTGTACGTGTGTATGTCTCTTTAGTTCACAAATGAAAGCTATTTTGTGGGTAGAGAGGGCATTTGTGTTTGGATGGGGATGCTCTTCTGGGAGTCCTGGAAAAACTTGAAACTCCAGCTAGAGATACACTTTAAGTAACAGCAAACCCAAGGTGACTTTTAAAATGACAAAATTCCCCATTGTGTATCAGGGTACTATTTTACTTTGAGATTACCACTACCACTGATTTTTAAAATCTCCTCTCAATTGCCTGGAATATTTAGGGAATCCAAAGATGTCTTCTGAAGAATGAGGGGGGCACCTATGTTATGCTTTTTCATGGGGGTGGGTTTAAAACCAAACTAGTACCATATGTGGAAGGTGACATTGCTCCCCAGCTCCAGCTCTGTGCAGGCCATACTGGTGAGTATAAAGCCAATTTATGAAGAAAACTGGGCTACTTCCAAATAAATAGTCTTTATATTTTGTATCTGGATAACCAGAGATTTCTGTCAGCTTCCATCTATTAAAAAAAAAAAAAAAATCCAGAATAAGACTTGTAAAACACAAGAACAAAATTTTCTCAAGCAATAAAAGGTTTTTCATCAGTGTAATTGAATACAATACAGAATCCTGCTGTATATAAGCCCACTGAGACCATTCTGAGTGGTGAAGAATTGAGTCTGGAAAGTCTCTTGACAAACTTGTGACAATACTGCCATAAGAGATGAGGCCTGAGAAGTYGTTTGGGGTCTGGATGCAGGCCCTGCCTGGGAACCCTCAATTGGAAGCAGCAGTCCAGGTCTAGGATATACTAAGTTTTAACTGCCTTCAGAATCAAATTCAGAGAATTCTGATCCAGGAATCTCCTGAATAACAGGTTTTTAGAAGACTATTAATAACACTCACTGGGGTGTGGGGTGGGGAGTTAGAGAAGGCAACTGGCAACTGCCTCTTGGGAGTCAGTGGCTGTCGTTTGCAGGGATCTAACCAGGAAGGACTTTCAGGTAGTAGAGATGGCCTATTCATAATATTTTAGATATAGACAAGTGTTAGAAGTGGAGGAAAGAAATATTTTTAGAAGGAAAAAAGGGGAGAAAAATCTTAAAAGATATAAACATTCATAGTACAATAACAATATTTGAAATCTCACCTGTAGCAGGAAGTATGATGAGATTACAGAGAACCTTTGGGTAGCTTGTTGCTGTATACAGGGAATGAAGTGGCCAAATATGGGCTGGAGTTGTAGCTCAGTGGTAGAGCGCTTGCCTAGTATGTGTGAGGCACTGCGTTCAATCCTCAGCATCACATAAAAATAAATAAATAAATAAAGGTATTGTGTCATCTATAATCAAAAAAAAGAAGAAGTGGCCAAATATGGCAAAGTGAGATCATAGCTGAGCTGTGAGGTATTGTACTGAGTGTTCCCTCGTGTCTTCTTGCTGGAAAGCAGGGTTTGATGGATTTTGTTTCAAAGAAATAGCAGCATTGGCAGCCTGTACTCCTTCAAGATGTAGCAAATGTGCTGTTATGCAGGTACAGTACTTTTGTAACTAATTTAGGTGTCTGTGGTTATATTCAAGCCAGTTAACTTATGGGTACATTGTAACAAGTAAAAGTTTGGTCATTTTGGCCAAAGGAACTTGATGCCAAAATAAACTCATTGTACATTCTTTCATAGACCAATAAGTTAGTCACAGCTGCATCCGTGTACTAGTTTTAGTCAACAAATACTTAAAGGATAGAGGTTTAGCTCGGTGGTCAAATCCATACTTAGCATGGGTGAAGCCCTGGGTTCAACCCCTAGCTCTGCCTCAAAAAAAGAAAAAAAAAAAAAAATATATATATATATATATATATATGTATGTATATATATATATATGTATGTATGTACTGAGTATGGAGTGTGACAGTGCTGTAGCCCTCTGATCTCTTGGAGCTCCTGTTCCTTATGGAAACAAAACTAAAGGTTAACACGCTGCAGAAGACTCTCCTTTGCCAAGTGTCTGTTCCTTATTCTGRTACATCTTTGGTTTGTTTTTTGTCTCCCATTTGCAACAATTAAATCCAAAAGCAGCTCTTGAGCTACTCTCCAAACAAGTTTTCATTTGGGGCTTTTTGACACATCCTTTTGTTTCAGATGACTCCATTCAAGTCAAAAGGATTTAAGCTGGGGACAGAGAATAGGCTGTTGGATCCAGCTCTGTGTTTTCATCACTCAGGGTTTGTTCTTTTAAAAGAGAAAAAGAGGAATGATCCAGCTTTTCAGTTTTGATCATTGTTGGCACTTCCTCCTGTGTGCCTCATTTTGGAGGGAGTAACCTTTTGCATTGCTTCTATTTGTTTGCATTTCTATGTCTTATTGAGTTACAATACCGCACTATAAATTCACCCTTGTAGAGGGCACAATTCAGTGGTTTTATCATGTTCAAAATTGTGCATCATCACCATTGTCTTAATTTCAGATCATTTTCCCCCTCAGAATATAATCCCATACCCATTAGCATTCACTCCCCATTTGCCACTCTCAGCCCCAGAGCAGGTAATCACTGACCTACTTTTGTTCAGGGACCTGACAGCAGGGATTAGTCCCTGAATTTTCCTTCTTTAAGTACGAGTGTAACTTAAAAAAAAAAAAAATCAATACTTTTGGTGGTTGTACAAAGAGTTTGCAAAGCCATTAGCTTCTGTTTGCAACACAGAAAATACATGTCAATTCTGGACCAAAATAATTTCATTGAAATACTAAAAGTGATATGGAAGAATTAAAAGAGATTTGCAGCAACTGTTTTTAGTGGTCAGCTACAACAAGCCAAACTAGCAGCTATTTTGTTCATCAAGAGTAGGTTTTAATTTACAGTTAAAGAGTGTCTGGTGTTTAAAAAAATATAAACTCTTAAGAACAGCTTATGAATCATAAGACCAAGGTTGAAAAACAGAAATTGTATTAACACCACCAGCAAGCACAGGGTCCTCTCAGTATTCTGCCCTCCTATTTTTGCAGGATGCAGACTCCCCAGTGTTGTACACATCATTTACAGTTATTAAAATCAGTCTCTACACAGGGTACCTATAGAGTAGTATTAAGCCCTGAAGAAGCACCAAGCAGTTTCATAGGCTTAACAATCCAGATCTCAAATTCTGAAGATAAAAAAGATTCCATCTTGCCTTAATTTTTATTTTATTGGTACTGGAAATTGAACCCAGGGCGCTCCAGCACTGAGCTACATCATCAGCCCTTTTAATTGTTCTTATTTTATTTTGAGACAGGGTCTGGCTAAATTACCCAGGCTGACCTCAGATGTCCAGCCTCTTGAGTTGCTGGGATTACCAAATTTAACTTTTTTTTTTTTTTTTTTTGATGTAACGTGAAAGTATGTTTACAACTATCACCTAATGGTAAACAAGTGCCTGAACATTCCCTTCTGTCACTCTGTGGACTGGCAATATATGACCTGGGAAGTCTGCCATCCTAATACTGGCAACAAAAGTCTGGTCATTTCGACCTCTTGTTTCTTGTTACTTGAGTAATTCTTGCGTTTCGGATTCCTTTGTGAGTCGGTCTTACCACGGTGTACTCTAGAATAGTTAAGGCAGAGCTGGAGTTAGAGTCTGGTATTTTATTTGTCCTTTTCCTTGAGGCACACTTGTACATAATGTCTGTTTATTCAGAAACCTGAGCTGCTCACTTGCCATGTGAGAACCGCTCAGTAAAGAAGAAAAACATGTCCAGCGCAGTGATGCACACCTGTAATCCCAGCAGCTCAGAGGCTGAGGCAGGAGGATCACRAGTTCAAAGCCTTAGCAAAAGTGAGTTGCTAAGCAGCTCAGACCCTGTCTCTGAATAAAATACAAAATAGGGTGAGGGATGTAGTTCAGTGATTAAACACCCTTGGGTTCAATCCCTGGTACCAAAACAAACAAACAACATACAGTATTCAGATATGACCTGCATAGCCAAACAGTCCCAGCCACTCGGGAGATTGAGGCAGGAGGATCCTTTGAGCCCAGGAGTTTGAGGTCAGCCTGGGAAACATAATGGATGACTTAGTCAAGTAAGAGTAATGGAAATTGAGAAATCCTATAAGTTAACTGACAATAAAAGCATGGSATTTCAAAATTTGAGATGCAGCTGAAGTTCTACTTTCAGGTAAATACATGGTCTTAAATGTCTTTCAAAAAAATGTGGACATGCCAAACAGTGAAGTACACCTGCAAGTTCCAGCTACTCTGGAGGCTGGGCAGGAGGACTGCAAGTTCAAGAACAGCCTGGGCATCTTAGCAAGACCCTGTCTCAGAAATTAAAAGCACTGAATGGCAGAACCATTGCACAGCATGCCTGAGACTCTTGGTTCAATCCAAGAAATCTAAAAGGCCATCAGAGGAACCARTTGGAGAGAAAATGTTTCGTGGGTGGTTATCAAGAGTTCATAAAGGAAGAAGTCATGCATGCACTGTAGTGGAAAGAGGCCTAGACCAGAATTGGGTTCTGTGGCTAGTACAAAGAATGGTGCGTTCAAAGAATAAAGAAAGGATTGCAGAATATGATAAGAAGTCATTCATCCTTGAATGTGCCCTATTAAATCAATCCAGGTGAACTTTTTCTGGACAAATAAGGGGAAATAACTTTTTGAAACTT